TTCCTTAAAGTTACTGCTACTTGTGCTGCTGCTATTCTTTTAGAAGGATTTTTCACCCTTCACTCACTATGTAGCCAGGTTAGCCTCGAACTCGCAGTGAGAATTCTGTCGGCCCACAGGATCTTCCATGCCTTGGCCGAGGGGTCTCTTGAAGGAATGACCACTGGGCAAGTATGCTCGCTCCTGAGATGTGTAACTGAGGCCGCTGCTACCACTGACGGTTTCCACACACATCAGCTATGGTTTGCCCAGGCCTTAAATTCCAAAAGTGTACTGTGAGGCAATGCCAATTGTTCTTCCCTTAGACCTAGCACTACCAGTAGATTCCCTTACTGATGGCACTCATCCTTCCCGTGTGTAGAGACCAAGCTTATCAAACCGTCCTCTCGGTGATCTCCATGCTCAGGAAAGAGATCCCAAGCTAAACTCAGGGTGGCAAACCCACTGTTGGAGGAGCGAGACTAGAATACTAGAAATCACCCGGACCTGGGCTGTGTAAGGACAGTGGAACTGAAAGGAGATTGACGTGAATACAAATCCAGTAATGAGCTTCGACGAGGCCCTAGCTTATTTATTGATCTTGAGTATCATCGATTGTTTGATTCTGTGTAGTAACTAGATTCTTACTCTAGCAAAACTTGCAGCCATTCTGCGGCCTCTGGGTCCAGAGTGCTAGGATTACTGGTATGGTTCACCATGTCCAGCTCATTAGATATTTCAGTAACATGTTCTCTTGATGGAATCGTTGCCATTGGCTACTGCAAGGCTATGAGATTTTTTAAATTAAATTGGACCTTGGCTTTACTTTGCCCCATTATCTGGCTTGTGTTCTTAAGTCTGTTAGTGATTCATTTTCCTTTCCCCCCTAATTTACAGGCAGAGAGTATATCATTCCATCCTTGGCGCACAGATTTATGGCAGAGATGGTGGATTTCTTTATTCTATTCTTTATAAAAGCGACCATTGTCTTGAGCATCATGCATCTCAGTGGAATAAAGTAAGTTAATGATGATCACAGAAAAGTCTGGAGCTGCTACCTAGAGATCTTGTTTTGTAAAATCTGCTCATGCCCGTGACTGACTCTGGGTAATAGGTGCCCAGGGCTAGGATTTCTCCATGAAATCTGCTAACAGATGTATTTGTTTCTTTGGTTTGTTTTTTGTTTATGTTTCATTTTTAAACGTTTAAAAAAGATGTGTGTTTATGTACTTGTGGAAGCCAGGAGGCCCACTTTGGGTGTCTTCTACTCTCTACTGTTTTTTTGAGGTAGGATCTCTCTCACTTAACCAGGGGCTTGCCATTTCAGATAGATTGGCAGCCATCAAGTCCCCAGGATCCACCTGCCTCTATCCACCCCCTCTCCCAAAATGTTACATAGGTACATGGTATCTTGGCTTTTAGAAGGGTTCTAGGGACACACTCAGGTCCTGATGTTTGTAGAAGCATTTTACTCACTGACCTGTCACCACAGGCCCCTTGTTAGTTTAAGAAACAATATGTTCTCTAAAATCTGTGGGAAATTCTCCTTTGAAAATAGAAAAAAGATCCAGGCTTTGGTGGCACACACCTTTTAACTCCACCACACAGGAGGCAGAGGCAGGCAGATCTCTGAGTTCAAGGCCAGCCAGAGCTATAATTAGATCCTACCTCAAAAAATTTAATAGGTAAAAGGAACCTCCAGAGCTGGCTTGTTTCTATTAACCATTCTCTTTGTCTGGGAATTTATTGGTTTCCTTCTTATTGGCCTATTAAGTTTCTAACATGAAAGCACAAAGAGGGGCTGTTCAGTGTTTGAGTGTCCACTGCTTGTCCAGAGGTTCCAAGTGAAGTTCCCATGTCAGACAGCTCATAACAACTGTAACTCCTGCTCCAGGGATCTAACCCCCTTTTCTGCACACACGGCATATATTTGTACACACAACACACACACACACACACACACACACACACAAATATATTTCTTTCCAAAGCACAAAGATCCTGTAGTAGGTGAACTCTTTGTAATCAATTAGTGGTATTTCAGTGGGGTTCCTTAAAGTTGAGCAAATTCCACTGTACTGCCAAGTGTGGCATTTACTTCAGAAACTCAAAAGTGTTAGGATAATGGCTGTTATCATTTACTTGGCATTTTCTATATGCAACACTGTTTTTTGTTAACCTTAGTACCATAAGGTAGATACTAATTGAGTTTATGAGATGTTAAGGCCAGAAGTGGAGGGGTGGGGGAGGCGAGGCAAGTAAGTCAAGATACACTATTGTTATTGAAAGGTTCAGGCATTATGCTGGCCTGCCCCTGTTCCTGGCAGAACAGGCAGTACCCTGGTCAGCCCAGAGTTCCATGGGAACTAAGTCTGCACTCAGGTGCAGAGGACCCCTTTAAAAGATAGATCCCTGCCCATTTACCCTCTCTCTCTCTCTCTCTCTCTTCAACCATTAACCATGTTCCTCTTCTCTCTTGTCTCTTTACTCTGCTGGTCCTATAATAATCTGGTTAATATGTCTCATCTTGCACTCCTCCTCTTTTTTATTTCTAATTTAAACAAAAATCTAACAGTTAAACCCTAGGGCCCTTGTCAGGTATTACTCTGATTCCTTCCTGTCCCACCCACCCCCGCCAACAGTCTTTGTTTTGGGTTTTTTTTTTACATTTTCATTTATTTGGAGGTCAGAAAATGATTTGTAGAACTTGACCTCTCCAGCCTTAGCACTCTGCTGTAGTTCGTTTTGACAAGTCTGAATTTCATCGCATGGATTAACAGATACCCACAGTCTTAATCTCAGTTTCCACATAGAGAAATTGGAGCCCTATCACTTCCTCCAAGGCTCTCCTGCCTGCCAGTCTTCTCCAGACTGCTTCTTGGTCTAGCTGGCTTCTCTTCAGTCTTTGTGTTGTAGGAAGTTTCATTTCAGAGAAGTCTGCACATAAAGTCAGCGTAACTGGTTTGTTTTCCGTGGTGCTCTGATTTCCTGACAACATTGACATCCCCGTTTATTACTGTTCATTATTGTTCTATTTTCCTTGCTAGGTTAGAATCTTTAGTGAAAGCTGAGACATTTAGCATCCCCTTGCTGTCCTAGTCTGCCTTCTGTTGCAGTGATAAGTACCATGATAACAACTTTGAAAGAAAGGGTTTATTTCATCTTATGGCTTGTAGTCCCGTTGAGGGAAGTCAGGGCAGGAACTCAAGGCAGGAACTGAAGCCGAAGCCATGGAGGAATGCTGTCTACTGGTTTGCTTACCCTACTTTCGTATAGTACCCAGGACCGCCTGCCCAGGGGTGGTACCACCAACAGTGTGCTGGGGCCTTCTACATCAATCAGTAATCAAGAAAATACTTGGCTACAGGCCAGTCCGATGGAGTCATTTTCTCAATTGAGGTTCCCTCTTCCAGATTCACCAAACCATTCACCATCATGTCCTCAGGGCTGGCATCTTACTTGTTCTACAACTGAGTTAAAGACACACCCACAAACATAACCACACCGTTTGCTTTTATTTATTTATTGCTATTTATTGGATAAACTCATGGATATTTTGTGCAATTAGATGTCGAGAACCTAACAGCTTAGAATTTCATTTGAAACTGATGATTTACACTAATCAGGGAAAAACTCACCTGGTAACTAATTCCATATAATGGCAAACTCTTCTTTTTGTGCAGGGACATCTCTAAGTTTGCCATGCATTATATAATAGAAGAAATAGATGAAGACACATCAATGGAAGACTTGCAGAAAATGATGATTGTGGCACTTATATACAGGTTGTTAGTTTGTTTCTATGAGGTAAGCTGTTGACTGAAGCAATACTGCTTTAATGGTATAATTTTAGATTATCTACCAAGAGAAAGAAATAATGAGAATTTCTCAAACATCTCTTCACATTTGTATTTTTTTTCACAATTTTTAAAATTAACATTTTCAAGTAAAAAAAGAACTTAAATTTTGGAAAGGAGACAATAATTGTTATGCTTCTCAGGTTTAGAAATAAAATTACATTCATAAGTAGGTTTGGGTCCAAAAATATACTTACATTATTTAGAAATAATGTATTTTTCCCTGTGAAAAAAACTTAATAAAATATAATGAGCCAAAAAAAAACCCATAAAGGATAATTTTGGATTTTGAACATATTAAATGACTGTAAAAATTCATTAGTGGTTAATTGGAGAGGGGTGGGTATTGGAGATCAAGCCCAGAGCCCCACACATGCTAGGTAACCACATTCATTGAGCTATATCCAAGCCTCTTTTCCTTTTTAAGAGTCTCAGTGTGTTGTGAGGGCAGATTCTGAATGCACTTGGACTTCTTGCATCTCAGCCTACCCAGTAGCTGGGATGACAGGCCTTGTGCCACCTAGGCCAAGCCTTTAGTGTTTTGTTTGCCAAGACAGGGTCTCATTATGTAACCTGGCTTGGTCCCAAACTTGCCAGTTAACTTTCCCCAGCCTCTGGAATTCTGGGATGGCAGACATGTACTACCAGCCAGTGTAAATGGTTAGGTTTCTAGTATTCTATCCAATTGGCACATCCAGTTTGTTTTTGAGGCAAGGTCTCACCTTGTAACCCTGTCAGGCTTGAACTCCATGTACATACCAGCCTGACTTTGAACTCAGAGATCCCACCTGCCTCTACTTCCCAAGTGCTAGGACTAAAGGTGTGCATCATCACACGTGGCCCTCCAACATGACATTTTTATGAAGAATGAGATGATTTAATAGAAAAAAGTTTTAAAGATCTTTAAAATTGGTTTAGTAAATTATTTTTAAACTGTCCTTCTTTCCTTAGATAATTTGCATTTGGGGAGCGGGGGGAGCTACTCCAGGAAAGTTCCTGCTAGGGCTTCGAGTTGTGACATGTGATACATCGGTACTAATTGCTCCAAGTCGGGTTTTAGTGATTCCTTCCTCAAATGTTAGCATCACAACGTAAGTCCTTTGCTTATCTTAATCTACTTACAAAAATCATGTAAAGTCACCTTCTACTGTATAATGATATCAGTCCGCTGTACATCAGTGACTAAGATGCTGCTTCATGCTGACTTTAAAGTGTCTTAAGGCTGGAGAGATTGCTCAGTGGTTAAGAACATTAGCTGGTCTTCCAGAGGTCCTGAGTTCAATTCCCAGCAACCACTTGGTGGCTCACAGCCATCCGTAATGAGATCAGGTGCCCTCTTCTGACCTGCAGTGATACATGCAGACAGAACACTCCATACATAATAAATAAATAAATAAATCTTAAAACAAAAAACAAAGTGTCTTAAATTTGTGAAAGTACACTGATTTTTGCATTCTCAGGATCATTCATACATTCCTCAGAATAAGTCCCTTATAAGTAACACAGGATTGTATTCAGTATTCCTGGTTACAGGTTCTATACAGTCATATGGACTTACAGGGAGCTTTTTATGTCTCATTGCCTTTGGCATTCATGCTCAAAATGATTTTATGAAATGTGTCGTGACAGGAAGATACTTGGGTGTTCTCAGTGCTCTGTGCCTAGCTTTATTCTTTGGCTCTGTGAACTACCCACCACAACCCTATCCTGACTCCAGCTCTTAGCTCTAGAGCCATAATGCCTGTACTCTTCACTGACGGTCTTTGGCATGCAGCTTCAGTGAGGGTGCAGTGGTGATGGAAGTTGGGGAAGTGAGTGAGCTGTGATCAACTGAACCAAACAAAATTTGGCTGCAAATGCTGCAGGAATGATTGAGGGATATACAAACAGGCTCCAGAAGCAAGCTGGATTTTGCTGGCATATGCACATTGAGTTACAGCTTTGTGTTTTAATTTTGGCTACTTATTTGGTTTTTTTTTTTTCCGGAGAGTTAGTGTAGCTCTGCCTGTCCTGGAACTTGCTCTGTAGAACAGGCTGGCCTCAAACTCAGAAGCCTGCCTCTTCCTTCGAATACTGGAACGACCCAGCTCTGGCTACTTTTAATGAGTTAATAATGGCTAGTGTTTATTGAGTACTTCTCAGATACCAGGCATTTTAGTAATTTAACAGAGCATTTTGATCTCACATACGAAGTCATGAAGCACAATTAGTAATTAGAAAAAAAAATGTGGCACCAACCAGTTTGGATTCAGAGTCTGCACATCTAGCCACTGACAGAAAGAAACTAACATTGTTATCAATTTTGAACTATTGTTGAAAGCTTTTTAAGACTTCTTTTAATTACTGGAGCCCATACAGGAGAAAATGGATAAAAGAACAGATTGTATTTCAGATAAAATAGAAAGTAGGAGTGCAGTAAGCATACCCAGTTCAGAAGATTCTAGAAACCCATGGGAAAATGTGACTATGGAAGAGGTAAGCAAAGGGAAGGTGTTCTTTTCTTCTGGAAAAAAGAAAGAAAGAAAGAAAAACTGTGCTGTCTCCTCGTTGATGTTCTCAGATGTTTATTACCATGCATGGCAAAGTTCTAGTCTATGTAGTTTTCTTTAGTAAAGTAGGTAGTTTGACTATTTTTGTTGGAAAAATTTTGTACTGTGCTCTGAAGGTTATAAACATCAACAAGATTCCTAGTCAGCAGTGACTGATAGAACCTGACTTGCTACTTCTGCTTGCTTCCTTTAGGTCCACCATACGAGCTTTGATCAAGAATTTTTCTATTGCTTCTTTTTTCCCTGCTTTCATCACACTGCTGTTTTTTCAGCACAATCGAACAGCCTATGACATTGTGGCAGGAACCATTGTGGTAAAAAGAAATGGGGTCAGATGATGCCCCAGAGCCCTGAATTCCACTCTTTGGAATAATAATGACAAGACTAAATTATGTATCAAGGCCATCAGTATCTCTAGGTTACATTAATTGATGATTTAAAAATTAGAGCAGTCACTATGGTGTGACACAGGGGACTATTCTGAAAGTGTTGACCATACTTAAATGTCAAGGAACTTTTCCAAAAGGAAAACCTATTAAATTCAAGTGTTAAATATTTGTAGAACAAAGCAGATGGTTTCGATCAATATAGACAAACGCATACTTTCACATTTAAGATAACCAAAATTTTCTGGAGGCATTTTCGGCTTTAAATTCTCCCATTTTATTCTGGCTTATCCTAGAGTGATTGAAAAATGTCCAGTTGTGTTTTATAAACACCTATATACATAACTCCCACAGCTCTTCTTATGGAAGTTGCTTTGTGTGGGCATTGAGAAAGCTTCAACTCAACAACCCACTGGCTCCATGGCAGGTGTTGGAGAAAAGGGCTAGTGAGGAAGGCCTAGCAGTCTCCTCACCTCACACTTCCTGGATGTTCTAGAATTCACTGCAATGGTGGTGGAATGTTATAGCTTTTTATTAAGTATTTGGAGGCAAGAATTTTCATGATGATGATAAAAATGTATTGAGTCATATCATTGATACTTAAAAAAAAAAAGGTAAGTTAGTCATTGCCTTCTGTGGGGGGTGGGGATGGGGATGTGAATTTTCGATGTAAATTCAGCTTAGGCTTTATGTGCCCTAAATTCCAACTCTAAATATGTGGGGGAAACATTCGAACATTCCCAGTGTGCTCTCCAGTGTTCTGAATGTACCTGTAGATTCAATTTCTGTACAAGCAAACTAAGGCACTATATTCTATACAGTTCCATGAATGTCAAAACATCAAGGTATTAGTATTTAGAGAGGAGTCTGTGAAATACTAGCCGTTTTCCATGCTGACTTGTTCTCTCTAAAGCAAAGCAAAGTATCATCTCTGTACATTATTCTGGCTTCTTTAAGCTCATTTTGGACGAAAATGTTAAAAAAAACTTTTGTGTATGATCCGTTGTACTTTGCGCTGTCGGTGCAACATTGTTAGGTCTGTGTGCTTTTGTTGTATCCCAGTCAGCTAACTGTACCGAAATGTACCCGTATCGTTTATAGTTTAAACTTACTCATTCTTGTATATAATCTTCCCAAGAAACACTAAATTGTATTGCACAAGAGATCAGTCTTTGTTCCTGGGTTTTAAGTAGCAAGAATAAGCCATGTGTTATTACTGTATCAACTTTCAGTGAGCTTTTCTTGACATTTAAAACTGAAAATGCAATGTCTATAGACACTTTAAGAATCTAATAACTTATTGTAGGAGTTCATAAACCATGGTTTTTCAAAATAATTCTTAAATCCAACTTCACAGAAGGCCTATTACTTGTCAAGAGCAGTGTGTAGAGCACGTGTGGCCCTGGCAAGAACTCATGGCTCTTCAAACTTACACTACGAATCAGGAAACTGGTGTGGACACTACTTTTGCCACTGATAAGGGACATCACGTTGAAATGTGCTTCACCCAGCAGCTCTGGAGTATTTGATTATTGTTTCCTACTCAGATTATTGTAGTTCTCACAGAGGGTATTTTTTATACAGTAAAATAAGCAAGCAGTTAATTTGTTATAGTTTAAATACTGCAATTTGCTATGAACAAGTTATTTAGTTCCAGCTGTGGATTCAAGTTGTGCCATACAGGCTGTAAAAGTATTGCTTTGCCTCTACAATAAAACCTCAATCTGTTGTAAGTTCAGCACTTAGGGAAAGAAATCTCAAGAGTTGAAATAAAAAGGAGAAAAGGGAACCTGCCACATTTTTTCTTGTAAAAATGGAGCCTCCTTCACAGAACATGAGTGTATTCAATTATAGAAATACTGATTTCCTGTGTCTCATTCTGAAGCTATATCCTATACCTATAAAACAGCAAACCGAAGTGAGAAATGAAAATAATCTTTAATGAGCATGCGTACCTTAAGCTGAAACCACCTTAGGGACTGGAGTCTTGTTGCTGTATTACCATTCAGTCCAAACAACTGGGAAGAGGCTTAGGCAGTCAGATGGTCTCATTATCCATCACTGAAAGTGTTCTGGTATGGCTGTATCTTGGAGTAGGATGTTCGGGTAACAGTGCAATGGCAAGCCTTACTTTATGAGCTTCTCTGTGACCATAAACACATGCCACTTGACAGTATTCTAAAGCATCGCCCAACTCCTCCTCTAGCGCTGGCTTAATTCTCCCTACATGGCACTTACCTTCTCGTCTCCAAGAAGGCATCCTAGTTGATGGCCACTTTGTCCACGACTCAAAAATGATTCTTCAAAGGATCATAAAACATTTTAACTTTACAAGAACTTGTTCACATCAATGATTTGAATGTTTCACTTACACACCTGTTTCTGGCAAAGGAAAGGAGTTAAAATTTTGCATTTGCTACTTGGAGGATGGGGCAATTAAAGTTTCTCATTGTTCCTTTGAGGACAATACCTAAATTAACAGTATTCCTAAACTTCTGACCAGTACTTTCAGCTTCTTGCAGTCCTCCATTTATGTAACCAAAGATCAGTTGTTATTCGTGCCTGGGTGAAGTTCCTTATTTCAGCCGTTATGTGCAGATTTCTTTGTAGTTCACTATAGTGGGGGGCTTGCCCTATAAACAGTATCTAATGACCCACCTATAAATAAAACTCAGCATTCTATTTTTAATATTTGTATGTCATTAGTTTGTATTTTTCGTCTCAATAAATATGTCAACAGTGCCGTCTGTGTTTGCCTATTTCTTTGACAAGTTTTACTAAGAAAACAGCAACAGCAGGATATTGAACTAATAGGGCTGTGGTTCACTGATCTAACACTTGCCACAAATATTCAAGACCCTGCACTATCTAAACACCGATGAAAAATTTATTTTAAGAAGTACAGCCGGGGTTGGTGGCACACGCCTTTAATCCCAGCACTCGGGAGGCAGAGGCAGGTGGATCTCTGAGTTCGAGACCAGCCTGGTCTACAAGAGCTAGTTCCAGGACAGCCTCCAAAGCCACAGAGAAACCCTGTCTCGAAAAACCAAAAAAAAAAAAAAAGAAAGAAGAAAGAAAAAGGACAAGTCACCATAAGCTTGGCTTCAGGTTAAAATCAATGGTAGCTACTTAAAGCCTGTAGCCATTACAACAATCAGATGACCAGATCTAAACTCAGCCTTAATAGGAAAAGCTTTTATATACCAGTCCATGTGGACTTGCCTTTTCTCAGGAAAGTCAGTTACTTGATGGTGTTAGCTGTAAACCCAGAACTCAGGAGGCTTTTAATGCCAGCCTGGGCTACAAAAGGGTGTGTGTACAAACTTTATGTAATGCGGCCTGGTCAAAGTGTTTCTTTACTATTCCTAAGCCAAGTTATTTAGGGACTACAATGGATTTTGGAGCAAACAAAGGGGTTGGGGGCGTGTGCACGACACACAGGCCCATGTTAAGAGTCATGAGGGTTATTACTAAATTGGTCATATAGTTGCTATCTATAAGATCTTCACCATCTTCATTTTTCAGTGTCACTATAGCAAACAGTTTTCATTAAAGATGTCACCTTTTATAAAATTTGTTAAATCACTTCTTGGTCTTTGGACTACATCAAATGTAGTGTCTGTTCAATCCCAGCCAATCCAATCAAGAATTTACCACTGCTGGACTAGAGGAGGGACAAGCCCAGAGATGGAGCTGCCACCACAACTGGAAAGCTACATACAGCCCAAGAATCAAGTATTAAGAGCTGAACAGTTACAGACTATGGAAAACCCAAAGATCTCCAAGTTTCATACAAACCAGTGTGACTTTAGTAACCTGCTTTTAAAAAGGGGGAATGGTGGGAAATACTAAAAGCACAATTATTTCCCACACATTTTAGAGAAAAGGAGTATTCCCTATTAAGCCACAATTATTTGGACCTAGATAATGGCTAAGAACTGGCCTCAGGTCAGACAACCTAATTAACCTCTCAGTATTCACCAGCAGACTCCAAACAGGCTTACGTTGTCAGATAAATACTATTAAAGAGAATATCAGAAAAACAACAAACTCTAACCTCAAAAATCAGTATGTGATCATGGTCTAAGCTATCTTAGTAAGGAAAACATCTTTTCGTGAGGACAAAGCATTAGAAATTATCCATATAAACTCAACCAAACTGAAGTGTGGCAAATTAAGCACAAACTAACAATAAATCCTAGTTACATTAAAGATGAAAGTATGAAGTGCTGGCCCAAGAGTTCTTTCCTGGATCTTTAAGTGAGCAAAAAGTCTAGTCATACAAGTAACACAGTAAAAGACCCAATGTAGTTTTATGAACTTTTGAATGCCCGAGGCATATTACCTCCAAGAATGTGAGCAATAAACATTGTCTAGGTAACTAACAGGGAGGCTAGAAGTACAAACAAAAAGGGTTGTATGTTTATTTTCAACGCTTAAAGGTGCTATTACGTACATACTAAAGACAGCAGCAAGCAGAAAGCAGGGGATCTGTTAACTCTAGGGCTTTGTTCGATTATACCCTTTGGGATTTCTAATCAACCCTTCCCATTAATACTGTGTGCCTTCACTATGAGAACTGTTAAAGAAACGTGCTTCATAAAGTTTTATTGATGGCATTTATCCCATGGTTTAACATGTTAATTATACTGTAATAAACATGGCTTTAATATTAAACTTTTCCTTATTATCCAAAGTCACCACAGTCCATTTCAGTAAATATAAAAATATATGCTTAATACTTTGTACAATACTGGTTTTTGGTCCAAACAAAACTGGATCAGAAAAGCCAATAAATTCAACTTTAAGAATCCCCAATTTTTTTTTAAAGATTTCCAAATGGATTTAGGCAACTTTGAATAATGGGATTTACATAATAAAATCTGAGACAAGACTAAACAAACAACAAAAATATGTCTAACACAAAATTAAAATTTCAAGTTCACAGATTTATGTTATGCCAAAAGTACAGAAACAATATTGTATTTACAGAAGTTTCATAATAAAATAATGAAAAAGGCAAGACAGTCGGTAGAATGAAAATATAGAAATAGTATATACTTATTAAATGGAGAATGAACTAGATCTAACAAGTCCTTAGTATGGACCATTCTTTAATCAGGCTTTCTCTATCAGAGTTTTTCTGTGCACAATACATCCAACTCACTTCACACATATGCCACCACAAACTCCGCATAGAAATCATTCATTTCAAAGTCCTCTAATCTATCTATACAGGGTTCCCAAGATATAATTACAATTTCAATGCGTTCCATTAACGCTTTATCAACGCACATAGCAGTGCAGACAGGATCTATACAAAGCCATTCACCGTGCAGGCTCTATTCCTGGGTACAGCCAGACTATGCCAATCAGTGAATAATGTGCTGGATCATAAAATGTTTCTGCTGAAGAATCAGTCAGTCAACAGTCTAGCTATTATTTTCAAAAGAGAATGGGATATGGGATTTCCGTAAAGAAAAAAAGAGGACAATTCCAAAATTAAAGAAGTCCTTAGACAGATCTGACTTCAGATAAGCCCAGCATGTAGTACAGTCCAGTATCTGAAAGCAGGCACCAGCTGTTGATAAAACTGTTGGGTATAACACCTTCGTGACCTTTATTTCCTGCGTCTGACAGCAGTCTTTATCTTGCGACCAGAAACTGAAGTTCCGGAAGAAGAGAACATATTTTTCCCATTTGACCTGTGGAAAAACACAACATGTGACAGGATGCTCAGAACAAAGAGAGAACTCATAACCACTTAACATGACCAGTAACAAAATGGGGGGTGGGGGGGCAGTGAGGAAAATGCAGTTGTTACAAGCAAACGTCTTCTGCTCTTCCTGGCCTATAACTTGCTGCTTTTCTCTCAGATTGTAATACAGTCCCTAAAACTACAGTATCATAGTAGTTTTTACTATTACCCAAACTATATTACTGCCTGATTTACTTTTAGAAACACACACACCCCTTTACCAATGTAAAATCTCAATGAAATAGGATCATCTCTTACCCCACTGTAAATGATGCTGGAGACTGGCTGAATTGAAAGCCCCCTGAACCTGAGGGTTGGGCTGAGGCTGCTGGCGTGCTGGGATTTGCACCAAATGTGAACACTCCTGACGGATTATTGTTTGTGAAGTTGAAATTTGTGGTGCTGCTGCCAAATTGGAAAACAGAACCTATACAAATTAAGCAGAAATATTGCATTAATGACACAATGTTAAGATGGACGCTCACCTAGACATATTATAACATATGAAAAATTAAGATCTCAGCAAGGCGTGATGATGCACACCTCTAGTCCCAGCACTCAGGATGCACAGAGCAAAGAATTTCTGTGAGTTCAAGGCCAACCTGGTTCTATAGAACCAGTAAAAGACCAGCCAGGGCTACCACAAAACAGGAGAATTTAGAGCACACATGAGCTAAGTACAAACACCAGAATACAAGATGAACCTTACAAACCAGTAACCAAACGAAACTAAAGGACAAAATACTTATAAAAGAATTTGCAAAAAAATGGAAAATACATAGAAACCAAATAAGAAGTTTGTCATCCAGCAGTGGCAGCATGTGAAGTGGAAAACCCCAGCAGGAAGTGTGTAATAAATACCTTTTAAATTATGGGGTAACCTTTCTATTCAGAGCGCATCAAGAGAAACACATGTGCTCCCCCAAAAGGTTAATATCCTCTACTCTATAACATGTAACACAGCATTTCCTGACAGTCAAAACTGACTAACACAAAACAGTAAATGAACAGACTGACAACCACTCTGCAGCAGGGACAGAACCATATGCAACAGCACAACACAGAAAATGTAAGAGCAAAGAAGCAAGGTGCACACAGCAAGAGTCCACTGTATAGATAAGTATCAGGCAAAGCTTTATTTTCTAGAGGTATCAGTCAACTAGAGTCCAATGGACAGGACAGTGGTCACCATTAGAGCAAAGAAAGAGGAGTATAATCACATGTGCCTCCAGCTGTCTGTACACACATACAAGCTTCCACACTATGACTCTTTCATGAGATAATTCTATTAGAAAGATCAAATGGTAAAATTTTGAAAGAATGCCGTATTAAAATACAGTACAATCAGTTGAATTTAAAAAGTCACAAGAAGCAATTCCACTCCTAGGCATATACCCAAAAGCAATACATTCACACAACAAGGACATCTGTTCAACCATGTTCATAGCAGCATTATTTGTAATAGCCAGAAACTGGAAGCAGCCTAGATGCCCCTCGACTGAAGAATTGATAGAGAAAATGTGGTACATTTACACAATGGAGTACTACTCAGCAGAAAAAAAACAATGGAATCTTGAAATTTGCAGGAAAATGGATGGAAGTCAAACAAACCAGTCTGAACCAGGTAACCCAATCACAAAAAGACAAACATGGTATGTACTCACTCATATGTGAATTTTAGACATAGAGTATAGGATTACCTGCCTACAATCGACACTCCCAGAGAAACTAGTAAACAAGGAAGACCCTAAAAGAGACAAACTTTATCCCCTGAATAAGGGGAAAGGGTCACCATCCCCTGAGCAAATTGAGAACATGGGAAGAGGGAGAGAGGGAGCTACGAGAATGAGAAGGGAAGAAAAGAAAGAATGCTGAGGTCATGAGGGAGCAGAAAGGTTGAGTCAGGTGTAGATTAGAAGAAAGGATATGGGATAGGTAGGGTTTTAGTTGGGGGGGTGGTAGGGGAGGAAGGGAGGGAGAAGGG